CAAACTAAAACAGTAGTCGGGTGTGTTCAATCGGCAGTCGTCAACTGTTTCTTCCGATCCGGAGCAGGATATTTTTCTATCGGCATGCCCTGACCCTGGGATAGCATGACGCTGACTTATAGTCCCGCCGTGAGGAAAGCCCCAACTGCGACAGAGCACCTGAGCATCGGTGTCCGTCAGGTCACCACACACTGTGTAGGGCCGCCAGAAGTAGTTCCTGGTGTCGAAAATCTCGATAATTCCGTCCTGGCAACTGCTGTTGTTGCCGATTCTAAATTTCATGCCGGAATAACCAGAGTTCTTGCCCGTGGCGGTACATTGACAAATGCCTCGTATATATTCGCACTCGAACCTTGTAGATGTTACGAAACATTCAGCTTCTTGGTCACAGCGCTCTCCGTACCCAGCTCCTGGGGCGCATGCGTCATTTCTGCGCTCCCAGAATCCTTTGGGACAAGCGCACTTGCCTTTCACACACGTGGCGTTGGTTGTGAGAACCTCGCACTCAGCGGTGCTGTTGCACGACTCTGCCAGTCGAGGGTAGGGCCGACAGGTGATGTTGCCGTCGTTCCAGTAGCCGAACAGACAGGAGCAGTGAAAGTCGTTGTCACACATTGCGTTTTGACTGTCGCAGTGATCAGAGAGTTTACAGGGCTCAGAGAGCCGCGGCTTGCGGCACGCGCCGGCGTCAGCCAGCAGTCCCCAGCGGCAGGAGCACACACCATCAGTGCATGTCGAGTCGGCCACGGCGCCCAGACAGTCCGCGTCCCGGCGGCACGACTCGGAGAGACGCGGGTAGGGCAGGCACCGGCCGGCGACCACCTCCTGGAGACCCTCCGCACAACGGCACCGGCCGTCGGCGCCGCACGCCGCGTCCGGCCGCAGATCTCCGCACTCGGTGTCCGCGCGACACGGCGCTCCCAGCACCACACCACGCGGGGCGGCCGCTCCAGTGTCCAGGCGGCTGGCGAGGGTGTCCAGGCGGCTGGAAATGGTGTTCAGAGCTTCAGCGAGGCTCTCCTGGCGACTCGAGATGGTAACCAGAGTTTCAGCGAAGGTCTCCTGGCGACTGAAGATGTCGGCGAGCCTGTGGTTAGTGTCATGCAGCAGCTGGTGCAGAGAGCCCTGAGAAGTCATCAGATGGTCGTTTTGCAGTGGTTTCTCTAGGGTCGAGGCGTCAGCTCCTTCGAGAGGAGTGTCTGAGACAGGCGTCACCTCCCATTCCTTATCCTGTGCCGTTGATTTCTTTAAATGAGCTTCGGCAACGCTTCCACCACTAGCAGACTGAGCAGCTCTGACACTCACTAGAAGGATAAATGTCGCTAGTAACATCCCGTCCCGATGGACACAACACAAATGAGTAGTTTCACAAGTTGCAGTGTACTTCGATAATAAAACGAAGGCGTTTCGTTCGGCCTGTAAAGTGAACCACTCTCAGCCGCGGCACGCCCCAAACTACCAGGGTCCAGACCAGCGACAGGTCGACTAAAGTGCGGCTGTTTACAGTTGAGGGACGTGGAAGGTCACTCGCCAGCACCGCTCCCAATGTTTGGCTGATTTTTGGTGGGCTGGAGTTTGTCATTTCAGCTGGCAACTGGGGTACTTACTTACGAGAATGTGTGAAGACAATTCGACAATTAACTCAAAGATCTGCCGAATTTATTAGTATTTCAATAGGTGTGATCTTCGGTGACCAGTTTCATGACCTGATAGGCCGTAAATGACCTTGGCCTAAGGTTCCTGGACACTCAGGACAGCGACTTAACAGGTTAAGGTCAAAGTTAACCCACGCCCCCGCTGGGAGAGGGGCAGAATCTGACCCCCTCCCGCGACATCGGTACTTTTTCGTGTTTTGTGCCCGCTTTTCACATGAAAGTAAAGATAGATACATATGTACAAATGGTAGTCGGTGTACTTTCTAAGCAATGCTGAAAATTTTGATTAATCAATACCTAATTAGTAATTTAATCAATTAATTAATTAGTTAATTAATAAGTTGACCTGCGCTGACCTCGACTCGGTTCGGTCACGTGATAAGATGGCAACACCTGTCAGCTCAGGTCATGACGGCACCGGAAATTTCGATAAGCAAATAATGTAGCCACCAAAACCATGATGGGAATCTGACGGCCTACATAACTTTGTATATAACAAATTAAGTACGGGCCAGAGAAGTGTATCAGACACTCCGAAAGCAGGTACGGATAAGTTCGGACAAAACTTAGATATAGTTGGCACCTGGCAACCTTGTACAACTCCTGAGGTTCTGTTACTCACAGCTTCCGGCCGGCTCGCGGTAACTGCGCACGGCCAGCGCCGGCGACCTGAAGTAAAAAAAAAAAATGCCACTCATTTTCGCTGTGGCAGGCTGAGGCAGCTGAACTATACATTTTCTGAAAGGCAATTGGTTGGTAAACACCATTAAGATAAAAGAAGAGCGTTAGGCGGCACGGGCGGACATCGATAGCAGCGCCTCTATCGGTCACTAGGAAAAGCTGGGCTGTAGGCGACGAAATACCGGCTGAGTTGTCACACGTTGAATAGGTTTATAGCCATCCGTCTTGTGAAAAAAGTTGAACTTTTGCCTTAAATATTTCTACAGGCAATTTTAGAAGTGTCTTCACATGGATTACAAAACCGTTTAGATTATTGTATTCACTTCAAGCCTTTCCTATTGTTCTTGATGATGCGGGAACTATTTATAATTAGTGTTTCTAGCTTAGTAAAAGAACATACTGTGCAAACGATGAAAAAAGCATAAATGGAAGATTTTAAATGCAATTTTCTCTAACAATTAATGGTAAATTCTCTACATATCAAGGAAAAGGTGCATGCTAACTGATAATTTAAAGTTCTTGGGGCCAGTTGTTTTCTTCTTTTCTTACGTCGCCCCAATGGCCGCGAATACACTTGTGATAACGCCTATCGGCGGGACCTAGCAGGACTTTTTATATCGGCATTCCAGAATTTCTATAACAGCAAAATTAAAGGGACCCTCCCACCTTAACATTAGATTTGAGTTGAGATAGCCAAAATGGGGTCCCTGGCTCACAATTACCGGTTTCGGCACTCACAACATCGAGAAATGCCTTAAATCGGAAATATTGAATTTCAAAATTGCAGCATTTTGATTCAGAGGGGCTAATGCTTAGGAATACCCCTCTGAATGTGTGACGTCAGCGCAAATATCTCACGATTTTTAAATGTTTGACTAAAACGTTTTGTAGCACGCGGTGGTATATGCTATTTGCGCGCAACATCTGCCGCAAACGCCGCACTTCTAAAATAAAGTCGCTAGAAACAGCGGAGATCCCCAAAAAGTAAACAAAAGTAAAAGTCTAATATCTTGAAAACCGGTGAATATTTTTCGGTGAAATTTGGTAAATATTCGTTTTCGCTCTTTCTGAACCGAGCGACATCACTTTCATGCCAATTCATAAACTTTTTTGAAGGTGGGAGGGTCCCTTTAATTCACAATTTGAAAAGCATCTAAGAAAACTTAATATTTGAAGCGCATTTGTATATTCCGCTAAAAGTTTTTCTTTCCATCGTGAAGCCCATGGTCTAAACTATCAGGCTAGACCCCGAAAATATTGATAAAGCCGTCCAATCTACATTCTCTTGCCTACATTAGGTGCTACTTTTATCCGTACGAAAACGGGTCTACGGTGCTTCAGCTTGTCATGGAACTTTGCCTTTGGGCTGATGTGGCGTGGACGCTGTACCTACACCATGGACGAAAAATATTTGCAGATTCGTGGTACATGGATGATGGACATTTCTGAACTATGTGTCACAGTTTAACTAAATTTGGGAAAGGTCGGCAAATCCACCAATGTCGCGCTAATTCCGGCCGCGGTCCCATCGTGCAATGGGAGAAAATTGAAATGCGCCTATTTTGGACGACACCATTAATGGCATGTTCAAAACCCTCTCAAACATTGGTTCATAGATAAACATGACACACTGAATCAGAAAATGCACCTGTGACCCCCCTGAGGTCATCTCAAGAGTCAAGTCATGAACGGTCACCAACAGTTTTTTGGCTATAACTTTTGATAAGAACGTGCTAGAGCGATGAAAATTGAAAACACGTCAGATGTATTCAGCTCGACGATAGGCGGATCGGCTGATATGTAACATGATTCTTTTCGGTCAGGTCATGACCTTGACCTGAGGTCAAATTTTCAAAATGACCTTTCAAGGTCAACAAATAGCTTTTTCGACGCGTCTCGACGAGAGGAACACGTTACACGATGACGATGCTGCTAAGTGCTAACAGTAATGTCGTGCCACTGTCGTGTCAAAAGCTATTGCCGAAAAGCAGTTTTCGTGAAAACTGCTATTTTTACAGTTTTTGCCCCTTGGAGGCTAAACCGTTGACCTGAGGTCAAATCTGAGAACAATGCTCAGAAAGGTCTGTAAAAGGGCTATCGAATGGGCTTTTCCGCGGCGCTGTAGCTCTATTGGTTCCGGAGTTAGCCGTTGGCAGTTTCCAAAATTGTTGAAATGGACTACATTTGATCTTTGATGACCTCTGGCGACCTGACCTTTGATGTGACCCAAAAATGACTGGAGTGTTACCGTCATTATTTTTGACGCTCTTTCGAATGCCGCTTACCGCGTGCCGCTACGTGGCCCAGGAGCCGGGTTAGACGGGGGGGGGGGGCTGTTCATACATCCCCCCCCCCCACCCGGCCCGGCGCGGAAGTCGCGGAGCACCGTCCCGGCGCGGGTTAATAAGAGGTCACAGTTTTGTGGTGTCACAGCGCTACGGTGGCTATTCGTATCGCCATCGGCCGTCCCGGGTCCCCATCTGGTCCCCATTTATGCCACAAAGCAACAATCGTCCAAGGTGATATTGACGCTCTCTAGTGGGCAGCGTGAAAAGGCTAGCTTTGATCAATGGCGTGTAGATGTCGCTATATGTATCTCAGTAGACAATAGAGAACGTAAACAAAGCGAATGGTGCGCGCTCTACAATCGTGCTCGACCGTGCCAGAGTATATAGAACACCGACGGAGTTCTATAGCCTTGCACCGACCGTGCTCGATTGGTGGCTCGATTGGTAGTGTTGGGATTATATATGGGGTTCTGTGAGATTTTGTGGTTTTCGGATAAGTCAGGCATCCTGAATTTGTGTGTTTTCAAGTGGCAATTGATGTGCAGTGGCATTGTGCTCCTATAGCAAAGATCAAAGCTGTGTAAAACTGTAAACCGCAGTCCAAGTCATCAACATGGATAAAAAATGAGCCCTCAACCTCAAACCAAGACTCAAAGGACTAATACTGAGCTTTGAGTTTGAACTTTGAGCTTGAAGAACTTAAGTCTACTTGGCACACAAGTTGAATGACTGTCATCATCAGAGGTAAGTCCCTGTCCCCCGGATACTTTAACTTTGTTGCCTACAGGCTGTAGGTATTGGTACTTGCAAGGTACTTGTTAGTTGTTATGTTTCAATACCTCAGTCTGTTAGCTGAGGTAGGTAATTATTATTATGTGTCATTGTCATAGTCCATTTCCATTGAATTTTTAAGTGCATGATTTGTCGCCACATGGCGCTAGCCGCTAACGCTAGGTATGTGATGTAAACATTTGTCCTACGTCCATTTGATAACTTTTAAACCACACTGCCGAACTAAATAGGTTTCATGATTGAGTTTATAGTAAAAATAGAAGCTGCATACATACAAGAACCTATTACAGTTCAAGCATATTTATATTACATTGGATTACTACAGAAGCTTGTAACTGAGACACCTAATAAATTTTAATGCAGGGGGGGGGGGATGCACTGTGCATGCTTTGGTTGATGAATCCAAATTATTGTGTTTAATGTTCTGGAGCAACTGGGAATTTGGTGGTTCTCAAAGCTGGAAGATTTCTCATTTCCAGCTCTGTATGAAATAGCTGAAGGATGGAGTGCTGCAGTGCTGAACTAATGTAAACACCTACTTGTACTCAGCTTGAGCTGCTTCTCTACACACACAGGAGTCCTTGGCTAATGATATTAGACAATGATTAGGTATATAAATTGCTGCTTTTTAATAATTAAATGACAGTTACTTTGTATATATAAATGCAATGAAAACCCTAAGCCTCATGCTAATAATTGTATTCAAAATATGGCCAAGAAAATGAGACTCATTTTCTGTCTCATTTTCTTGGCCCTATTTTGAATACAATTATTAGCATGAGGCTTAGGGTTTTCATTGCACTTATATATATAATCATGAGCCTTAAAACCGCGCTTTCTTTCATCATTTGACAGTTACTTTGGACTCACATTGACATTGATGAACACCAAATACAATAAAATGGCACAGTTGGACAATCATATCTCAACACAAACAACACTTGGCCAGCTGACCAATGAGGAAAAACAAACAAACAAACTAACAAACAAAACAGGCAAATCGCAGCAGCGGCCCGCCTCCTACCGCCGCGACCCAGCCGGGAATGGCGGCCGCCGCGCCGGCTGACCTGACCCTCCGCTGTGGCCTCCAACGTGGCATGTCAGTGGGTCACGTGACCCTACATCACAGTACACAAACTAAACACTATGGAGAAATAAACGCAGGACGAAATACAAAGTAATGCAAGAATTGACAAAAAATGTAGGTGCTAAATCAATTAATAACAGCTCAAAACCAAAAATAAGTCCACCGATAAACCAATAATCTCTCGGGCCATCACCGACGGCCCTCGGGACGACCCGACAACTAAAGCTTACCCAGGTTCTCGCTAGGTGGCGCACACGGCACAACAGCACGTCAACGGTGCCAACAACTACCTTTATTAAGATTTTGCATTTCACTAATGCAATGCTTATAATTATGCATACCTTGCCTATGCAATGTGCATTTTCTGACAGGAGAACATAAAAAATACAACAATGGGCAATTTGTCTTTAAATGACACTCCCCAGTGTCCCAAAATTGGGTTTTGGCTTGGGTGTCAGAGGGAAAATTTCTTTCCAAAAACGGGGATAAGAGTGGAAAATTGCCCAGTCAAATAAGGCCCAAAAAGAGTGGAAAATGGATCAATGGCATACATTTCTATACAAAGTGGTAAAATGTAGGGGAAGTTGGGGCAATGCCGGAGTTGGGGCAAAGCCGAAATTCGAGATATTTCTAAAACCGTACGACATGGATGCCACGTCTCAGTGATGCTCTGAAGCTTGAGTGACTACAATTATCGCATGTTTGTTACGAGTCGTCATTCGGAATACTTCGGCTGTGAGGGCGCCAAAAGCGTTTTCAAGGTACGTTTCCCTTGTACTACATGCGCCTTTGAAGCTGCATTTCTTACTCATTATGCTACCGTTTGTCTGGCCAATTCGGTCAAGTAATCTTCAGCATGTCTTTGCATAAGTGTGCTGCCTATATGAAATTTATACAGCACGTTTAAAAGTTATAGGCCTGCAAATGAAAGTATGGCTGGCTGGGGTAATGCCGAAAACGTGCAATTACGCACGTTAAAGCACGCTACGTGGACTTTACTGCTGTAGAATAGCAACGCGTATTTTTAGTCAAACAAATTACACTTTCAGCCGGCACAACAGCCTGTTACCTATAAGGAATGATTTACCTGGCATTTTCTTATTAGGTATATCACACAATTATAACTTCCAGTGTGCACCAAGCGTCCTCAAGCTCTTAAAACGCGTGTCACCTTTGATGAATTTAGGATAAAGTTTGAGATAAATTGGCAAAACATCAATGTCGGCATTCCTCGTAGATCATTTATCCCATTTTCGGCTTTCCCCGCAGTCCGGGGCAACGCCGAAAAAGTCAGTTCTTTGATATTTTTAGTTTTTGCTCTTAACGGTATGCGAATTCATCAAATGCGCCTGGTATGTTTGAAAGACAAAAGACTGGCCTCTCGAATGACGCCAACAAGAAAAGCTTATGTTGTCTACCTTGCGTGCTACGGGCGTCAGAAAAAAGTATTCGGCGTTCCCCCAACTTCCCCTAATAATTAAAATGCAGTCCATCAATGCAAATGCTTGTTCTTAGTAAAGCTGGGACTTTTTACTTTTAAAAATTAGAGATGAGAGTGTAAAATGCTTTTATTTGGATGTCGTGCGTTTCCCATCCAAATCAACATATTTTGGGACATTCCCTTTATTTCTAACGTTCAGTTCTCTCTGATCTCACTAGAACGTGATCAGTTCATCCGTTCCTGACAATGAACGGGAGCAGCCCTCCACCATCAAGCGCAGCCCATCTGGGCGGTGTTTCACGGGACGCTGCTACCACGCTGCTATCAAATTGCGCGAGCTGACGTCACACTTGTGGTAGTGTTGGAACAATGGGCCTGTTGATGTTTCCATGGAAACCCAATTTGACACGTGTAAAAGCAGCGTGCTGCTAAGTGCTATCACCGGTGAAACAGGGCCCTGGTTCCACCGTTCTCCCCAGCTCCTCTCCCCGATCCTCGCGCGTGTGCGGCCGCGCGTCAGACTCGCCCCCTCAGTTCTGTTTGGACAGCCGTGCGCGTCCGCCGGTGCCGGACGATCCCCTAATGTCGGCCATTCATTACTGGCGAACGCAGGTGTTGGGGCGGTACCGGTGCGGTGCCGGGCTCGGCTGACGAACTGCCGTTCGGTGATGTCGGCACGCGCCCCGCCGTGCAGCCTCCGTGTGCAGTGGAGGATATACTGCAGGCGGTGTGGGAGGTGTAGTGAGAACGGGAGATATCAATCAGGATGTCCATTAGCAGGAGAGCGCGGCTGGATTCGGGTGGATCTGCAAGAGCTAAGCCAATGCTGGTCTTGTCTATCCTGTTCGTTCAGGTGCTTTTCTATTTTTTTTTTTTTTGTCTTGGCAAAGTAGCTTACGTGGGCATCTTCTTGTGTGCCTACTTCACTCTGTTTACCACTTTTCCACCGTTTTCCAACTTGGCGCCGACCCTTTTCCCACTGTCGATCCCCTTCCCAACTGTCGCACGCTCCTACCATCTCCCATCCTTCCGGTCCGACTGTCTCCCCATGCGCGTCCCTCCTGACCCCGCTATCCTCACGGCGGCCAGTGCAGCGGTGCGGGGAGCCGGAACGGTGTCCTGGTGTTCCGGCGCCGTGACGGCACACATCTCAGACGAGGGAGCGCGTGTGCTGGTACGACAAACAACCCTGATGAGGGAGCGTGTGGGCTGGTAAGGACCCAGTTCTGATGAGGGAGCATGTGGGCTGGACGCCGGTACGGACACGAGCAATGGCTACTGAGTGCTAGTGGCCCTTGGTGGCGCTGCCTCGTGGCGCTGTCTCGTGGCGCTGCCTTGTGCAGCTGCGCGCACGTGACGTCGCGCGCGGCGCAGCGATGATTTGCTGCCGACGCAGGTTGACACGGGCGTCGGGCAGCTGCTGGCGCCCGCCCGGCCGCCAAGTTTGAGAGCTCGGTGATTCATGGTTTCGGCAGAGCCTGAGACCGGCGCCAGCGGCGACCATTTATTTATCCATATTTTGCACGGTTCATATGCAGCATCCATCAGTGTCGGCGGGAGGATGTCGGTGCCAGCCTGATGGGCTCGGCACGAGCGTGTGGTGTGGTCTGAGGTCGGAAGGGTAGCCACTGGTCTACCAACTAAAATGGGGGCGGGTAGGTCATTGACATAGTTGTGCTCTTATTTGGGGGCTGCAATGTCCATGGCTTTCATTGGTTACATCTGCTCTTTCTCCTAGAGTTAATTTTGATATCAGTGGATAAGAAGGAAATGTATAGGCACCTACGTGTTTTGGAGAGCGAAGACATCTTGCTCATGGCTGACAAAGGATAAAGTTGTATCTATCGGTCGACCTCCTCCCATATTTTACTCTGAACCCCTCTTTAATTCTCGTGCTATCAGTCCGCCTCCTCCCCCATTGATATCACCCCGCTGGGCACTCTCACACCATCTGTCCGTACTTACCGTATCGCGGAGCGAGCCTATTGGCGATATGTCCCCCACCGTTCGTCAACGTACCGGCAAATATTGCCTTCTGGTGGCGCCTGGTGGCGCGACAGGCGACGGCTATCTCTGCCAGCCTGCTGACAAAGATATTGAATAGTTATGCGCCACACTCGTTTTTATTAGTGCAGTTTTATGATTTAGCATAGATTGGATGCATTCCACGCGATAAAGGAGCTTTAGGTATGTTTGTAACGCTGATTGGCGCGACGTAAGACGCAAATAGACGCAAGGCGCACCATAGAGTGGTTGAGAAATCGTGGATGGAACATTACAAGATGGCTTTTTCTTTCTGAAATTAATGATGCAGTGCGACACTTGTCTCTGCGATGTTTTTGTGTTCTGTTACACAACGTCTCAGTAAATGATATCTCAGTAGATGAGCTCATATGGTCCCTGGTCAGGTATGTAAATTAAACA